CAGCCCGCGGATCAGCTTCCTGGCCCTCCTCTGGACCCGGTCCAACACATGCATGTCCTTCTTATGTTGGGGGCTCCAGAGCTGGACGCAGTACTCCAGATGGGGCCTCACTAGGGCAGAGTAGAAGGGGAGGAGAACCTCCCTCAACCTGCTGGCCACATTCTTCTTAATGCACCCCAGGATGTCATTTGCCTTCTTGGCAACCAGGCCACACTGCTGGCTCATGGTCAACTTGTCATCCACCAGGACACCCAGGTCCCTCTCCGTAGAGCTGCTCTCCAGCAGGTCCACAAGAAGAAGAAGATGTTTCCCCAGCAATCCCCAAGCCCCAGACTTTTCCTGTGGGCACTGCTCTGAATTGCTGCCCTTTCCCATTAACCACACCCTGCCTCCCCAAAGCAGGGCTGTGTGTCCCCTGCTGCCTGCCCCCCCATATGCCCCAGAGTCTTCCATCTCCCCAAACCGTGGCCCCAACCCTCTCCACTCTTGAAGGTCCCTTTCTCTCTGCCTCCAGCCACCATCCCTCCCCCACACCTCACATCCCCACCAGGGATGCCCAAGGACATCCCACCACCCAGGTGGCTGCAGAGCCGGTGACGTTCACAGGGACACCAGCACCAGGGAGTGCGAGGAAGGGCCTGCTACCTCCCTTTCAGTGTCCACAGCTCAGCATCATCCACAGATATGGGTTTATATCCCACCCAGGTCCTTGCCCACTGCAGCAGGGCTGACTTGTTCCTTGTGGCTCTTGTGCTATCCAAGATGATGCTTCCTTTTCCCCTTCCCTGGGCAAGGAAGAGAGAGGGGGTCCTTTCCCCTCTCCCAGAGAGTCCTACAGGCAGAGGAGGAAACTGTCACCTCCAGCTCCTTACCACCACCACCACCACCCACTGCCAGGCACGGTGGTACATCTCCTCTGTGCCACCTTCACCCCAGCCCTCCAGCTCCCAACAAGACCAGCAAGGCCAGGAGGGCAATCTGGGGCCACGACACACAGCGCGCTGAGGGTAGCTGAACAAGCCCTGCACAGAGAAGGCTTTCCCCAGGGATAGGGATATCAGAGACACTCAAAAGGCGTGAGGTCCCCTCCCAAGACAAAGACCACCACAGATGGAAAATTTGGGTGTCAGCACCGCAGATTGCTCCATGCTATTGCTGGTTCAGTTGGATATGGGGTGGATGACCATGAAGGTCCCCTTCATGCTACCTTTCAGCCACTTTACAGAGCAGCCAGGGGGTACAGGCGTGCAGGCAGCCCAGAAGGGGGTCGATATCCACAGCCCACCCCAGCTTGCCTGTGGCAGTGAGCGTGGGGGCAGCAGGATGGTAGTGCTCTACATAAGCTGCAGAAATCAGAGCACGTCCTCGGGGAGCTGCAAGCTGTGGACATCCAGTTTCAGCATACCGAAAAATAAAAATACAAAGTAATAAGATGGGGACCTGGGGGAAATGGAGGGGGGGAAAAAGGCTTCATGCGGCCCCATGCACCTGTCAGATCATGGGACCTTAGGAAAGGGGGTCAGGGCAGGGGTCAGGGTCTCTCTGTTCCACCCTCCTGCCATGTGTCCGGACACAGACGTTTTCCAGGCACACAGGGAAGACCTCCCCACAGGGCTAAAACCGTGTGCTCTGTCACACAGTTTCACCCCAGCCCTGTCCCTGGCTATAACTTTTTTCTTTTGTAAGGAAGAAACCACTGAATCCATTTGTCCTCCCTCCTCCCATGTATTTCTTGATGTCTCCAAGATTCCTAGCCTTCCTCTGAAGGAAGAACATCTCCAGAGCATCCCCCATATCCCTTTGGAGGGTCCCTGCAGGTTTTATTTTTAGATCCCTTTGAACAGTGATGCTTTCTTACACTGATTTGGGGCAGAGGGGGAGTCAATTCACCTTCAGGCCTTGCATTACTGCAGGGATGCGAAGCTGGTATGACTGATCCACTGCCTCTGTGCTAAATACTGTGATTGCTCCCATGGCTAGCCACTGCTCCTGAACCAGAAATTCACCTCTCTGAGTGCCTCAGCCACACGCCAGCAGCCCCAGGCAACTGTAAAGACAGCTTCTATGGCTCCCAGGTATCCTGCAGCACCTCCTAGCCCTGGCCTAGGACCTCAGCTGGGAGGGAAGGGGGGCACAGGCAGAGGATCCTTAGCGATGTCCCCAAAAGACATAAAAACATGATGCAAATTTACCTGGTACAGAGCATGGTGCCAGGCAGCAGAACAGGTCAGACCCAACCACGTACAAATTGGAACATGCTTGATGCTAGCGGTGAGCACAGCCTGCTTCTTGCGCTGTGAGATGCCGCTTTCTGCTGGGGTGCCAGGGATGGAGGGGCCGTTCGGTGCCCAATCCTGCCCTGGGGCAGGCTGGCTGACCCATCCTCAGGGGGTGCATGTGACAGAGACCCCACGGTCCTGCAGCTCTGCCGGGGCAGGGGTGCAGCGTGGAAAGGGCTGGCGACTTCCCAGGGCGACACACACACTGCCTTGCCAGTCCCCTCCCTGGAGGGAGAAATCTTGCTCTCGGTGACTTGTCACGGGGGCTTGCACAAGGCTGTTACAGCTGGTAATTGGTGCCCAGGGCTGCTAATTGCATTCTGCCTGTTACCTAACCCGTGACTCATTCCTCTGAGCAGGCAGCCACCCCCCCAGAGGTACAAAGGAGGTGGGCTGGGGTGTGCAGGGCAGCGGCTAGGGCAGGGGGCATTAATGTTTGCCTTGGAGCCCTCTGCCCTGCTTCTCACCCGTGTCCAGAACAAGTTGAAGCTGGATTTTGAATGCCTCAGGGGAGACAGGACGGGTAAAGAGAGGGCCTGGAAGGAGGCTGGGAGCAGGCGAGGCTGGCAAGGAGAGCTGGGCAGTGCCAACCTGCCTCCCAGCAACCTTCTTTTGCCTTCCTTTCCCTCCAGCTGACAACACTGATAGCCCAAGGAGGTCCTGGGGGACATCTGTTTATTTGGGGGGAAGGGCTAGCAAGCACCAAGCTGGGAGCATAGCCGGACTACCC